CACACAATCGGAAGCCACACAGTGACACAACACAAACACACAATAATAGCCACCATGCGTCCCTCCATCATGAAAGTAAAGACCCAACGCGACTCTCTTGGCTCTGACTTGTCCTCGCTCAGTCTACCCACAGCAAGGCTTCCACTCACAGCAAGAAGCGCAGCCGCGTCAGTTTCGACAAGGTTGAAGTCCAAGAATACCCCATGATCCTCGATGAAGCCCGCTACAAGAATCCCTTCTTGACCATTAGCTGGGAACCCTGCAAGAGACGCGTCTCGTCGTTTGAGGAGTACGAAAGTATTCGCAGCCACGAAGAAGCCTACGTGGTCGATCCCAAGGAACGTCTCTACATTTGTCTGCGATCGGGAGTGCCTTCGGCATACATTCGCGAGCACTTGGCCAAGCCCAATCCTTATCTTGTCGAAGACGATGCCATGCCCGCAGAAGGGCATCTGCAGGGATCCTCAGCAGCCAAAGCGAAAATCTCTCTTCTTTTGGAGCTGATGTTTGGATTGTGAGCTGATGATTTTATGATACCTTTTTGTAGGTCTCTGGACTACTAGTAGACTCTCGCATTCACAGATCTCTTTGCTCAGACGCAAATTTTCGAGGAACATACAATCTCGCTGGCTAGCTAGCTCTAGCTGGGTCTCAGTTTCCAAGCACGGCTCTGCTTGGTTTTAGGCATGCGACTGTGTTTTGGCTGATTGAGCCAGAGGCGGCCCAAAAGAACTCTGTTGAGCTGCCGGATGATGGTTGATCCAGTTTCCTTCGATCCAAAACTGCATGAGTGTAGCCTTTGATTGGATGACTGCAAGAACGTCGGCGGAAGGCTCTTCTATAAATGACTGCTTCACTTTGTGACACCTCAGGTGTCATATTACTTAGTATATGTTCTCGTAAATGTTGATGGTTTCTGTTCGTAGATTGATTACTCTTAAATATATTGGTCATCTCCAGCATTCATGTTGAAGTTTGGTCTTGAAATTCTACTCGAGAGCTAGCTATTAATAGTTGAGTGTTGAGTGAGTAAATAATTCGTCTGACCGGTTCTTGCTCGCTGGACAAAGTGAAGTCATTGATTATCTCAGAGTGGACCGGTTACCTTGTGGTACCGCATACACCATAGCATGCACGGAAGCTGAGGCTCTTTTATGTAGAAGGAAACCATTCACAGACGCTGCTCTTCGCCAATGGTCCGATATATAATGGTACAATGGTCCAATGGTACATGTACTATCATACTTACTTTGTGTAGACTAGCTCTTTGTGTTTGCGGCTCTGTGCGAAGCTGTAAAACACCGCGAGGGATGTCTGTGGAGTCGTGGAGCCAATCTTATTATTAGCAACAAAGGAGCCAGTCGTACTCGCGGCAATTCGGTACAGACAAGGCATCATTTTAATAATTACATGTACTTGTACTAATAAGTAGCTGGCTACTCAGTGGGCTCATCACTCATCATGCCTCATGGTACCGTAAAAACAGATCCTTTGGGAGCTTTTAGCTACCGGTACCAAGACTAACCAGGATGGTTTCCACTTTCTTCTATTGCCATTGGGTTTCCCTGCCCTCTTTCGCATCCTGTACCGGTTCATGATAGTTTTTTACATGCATTTATAAAAAAATATCGACTGCTATCCGGCAGCATCTTGCTTGAAGATCGTTTTATAGCAACCAAGATGCCTCACCTCCCACCTTGTACCGAAACACAAGTCGGTCATAGGTTGCGTTGGACTTGAGGCTCTCGGGGTAAATGTACTTAGAATATCTTTTTTAGTTGGCTCTAGTAGGTAATTTTTGCTTGCTCGCTGCTTTTTATCGGGTGATGCAATCTAGCTAGCCATACAACCGCTCGACTCAACAATTGCCGATTGCCGAAATGAAAACATACCAGACTGGCAGCCAGACTACATGGACATAGTACCGACTCGACTGAGTCACTCGGCTGGATTGGTGAATGTGCTCGATTGCTCACATGCAGTCTGGCTGAGAAGCTGGCAGCGCATCCAGCCACATAGCTAGCTTGCCTTTGAGCGAGTCAAGTCAAAGGAGGACTGGAGCAGCTCCGAAGAGTACAAGGGCTCAGCCAGCTACTGAGTGGCTGCGTAGCTCACAGAGAAGCGCGAGTGAAGGTACCCGTGCTGCGACGAGGACACAACACACAAAAGCCCTGCAAACCTAGTGGTACATGTAGCATGCAGATCTGGCCTCATGGGCTTATGCATATGTGGCTGCGTTGGGGGAATTCTTGTTGGCTGCCAGATGCCAGATAGACTGTGGGCTGCTTCCCTGTGTACCTGAGATCTCAGATATCAGAGCGGTATGAATCGCATGGTTATATTCCGTGGGAAGAGCCAGTCATGGGGTGTTACTGGTAGGCAAACCACGACGTCAAACTTCGGCACTTTTTGCTGACATCTGTGTTTCAAATGGGTCGTGTGGGTCGTGTGTCGTGTGGCGAGCTTTTGACCTCACGGTAATAGGTACCGGCCACACCCCGGGAGGGCTCGTTCCCACATACGGATTCGATTCAATCAATCCAACTCCTGTCCGCCAACTGACTGTGTTTCGCGGTACGGTCCGAGTGCATGTAGCTCCTGTTGTGAAGCTGTCGCAATTAAAAAAGCCCAGATACTAGAGCTATACCAGACTCGACTCGGACAGGATCAGTTTACAGGAATGCAATAGTACAGAATAGTTTTTGGGCTGTGTTACGTTATTGGAAAGAAGAGCCAAAAGCAGACCCTCTTTCTGGTGTCATCGTCCCTCCTTCGGGCAGGAAATCATTCTGGCTGCCGAGGTACCGTAGCCGTGAGCTTGAGCTTGCTTTGAGCTTGCTTTGGGATCTGACAGAGTATGCTGTACTCAGAGACAAAGGACGTACGCACATAAGAAACAAGAGTCAGCGAGAGCCACTTTTAGCCGAGCTGCCTGAGACGGAGTGAAGGCAGTACCAGCTACCGGTATGGGTGCACGAAACAAGGTTGACTATCCGGTCGCATGCACCTGTACACCTGTACTGCTTTTCCTGGATGAAGGAAACACATGGTGCCTTGGTACAATAGATCCTTGCTCTAGAAATCTCAAACAAGGATACCTGGTACCTTGTGGTGGCGAGACCGTAGATCCTCTCGCTTTGCCCCCAGTCAAATTGCCTGATGTAGCTGAATGGCGGAAGCTAGGCGACAAGGTCAATAAAACAAAAGTAATATTCCCCATCCAAAACACATGCAATGTTCCTTCTCCACTGAGAGGGCCCGAGGAAGCTGGCTAGAAGAGGAGGGCTCTTCCTTTAGAAATATTGCGAATTGCATTAGGCGACCAGTACTAGCTAAGCTGGCAGCTCCCCTCTGCTCAACAACTGCTTGCCTATCGTCGTCTCTGCCAAGGAGGTCAAGTCAGGGACAGGGTCAATCGTCATCGTACAAGCCGCGTTAACCCAGCTTGCTGTGAGCGCGCGCAGGGAAGGCCCGCATACTCTCGGGAGTGATCTCCCACAGCTCTTCGCATTCCGATGCGAGCCTCGTTCGAACGGAAGGCATAAAACCAACTTTGGTCAGGACTCATCTCCCGCCGAAACTCTTATTGGCCACGATCAGGGCCGACGACAAAATGATGGGCCAAATTGGAACTCTCTATGTCGAACGATCCCATGGCGTGATGGAGGAGGCATTCATGAGGGCGTCTCTCCGCTCCTCTGCGGTTTGTCACTGTCATACAGTACATACCCCACACCTCGATACCCCCAATTCAATCGTTTGCTTTCTCGTCTAGAGTCAAGCACGAAGACGGCATAGAACCGACATCGTCCAGCTTAGAGCAATGATGAGATCCATCGCAACCGCGTGTTTGGTGGTATTGACGGATTCGTTGCTCTCGTTGGCCAGTGCGCAGCGACAGCCCAATGACATTCCTTCCACTGTCAATGGATGTGCCGATGCCTTGATATCGGCCGACGAGGATGGAAATGGTGTCATTACACGGGACGAACACCTGGACTTTGCCAACGAAATCGCAGAGTTGCTGTGTCAGCCGGTACCGCTTTCTCCTGAATTGAGCTTTGACCTGCAAACCATTTTTATTACATCTTCCTGTCTGTGCCAGGATCTGGATGGATACGAGGTCGGATGTTGCTTTGGCGAAGATGCCGGGATAATCGCCAACGGCGCGGCTGCTGATGACGAAACTCGAACAGATGAACAAAGAGACTATCTAAGATCAGTCTGCTTGCTGACTCAAGCTGTGCTAGGTCCAAGCGAGTGCGGGGAATCCATGATGTCGTTCGATGACACAAGCAAAGACGAAATGGTCGAAACCCAAGACACCCCGAGCCCTGGATCCTATGACGAGGAGACAGATGATATCCCCGGCACGTTGCCGGGCTGCACCGCAGCACTACTTGCCAATGATGAAGATGGTGACTGGAGCATCCGACGAGACGAATACTTGGGAGTTGTCAATGACGTTGCTGACTTGTTGTGTGTGCCACCCCGTGAGGATCTTGATTTGCAACTACAAACAACCTTTATCAGCTTAGCTTGTTTGTGCTTAGAGAGGGAAGGAGCTGCCTCGGATTGCTGTTTCGCTGACAATGCCGCCATTGACGTTTCTGTGGTATCTGGATTTCGAAGCGAAGACGACGAACTCTATCTCCGAGCCGTTTGTGTACTGACACAGGCAATCTTTGGACACGGGCAATGCAACGACGAGTCGGCATCACCCTCTGACGCAGAGACCACTCCTATCCCTGTTTCCGAAGACCCGTCGGAAGCTGCGGTGGCACCAGCAGCCAACAACGACATTTCCGGAACTGTTCGAGGCTGTGCGGATGCTTTGCTGGCTCATGACCAAGACAACAGCTGGACTATTATCGAGCGCGATGAGTATCTTGGTTTTACAAACAGGGTTGCAGAGCTTTTGTGTGTACCACCCCGAGAGTCAATGGATCTAGAGCTCCAGACTGCTTTCAACAGCATTGCTTGTCTTTGCGCTGAGCAAGAAAGCGCGGACCCGACATGTTGTCTCGGTGAAAACGCAAAAATCGACATTGAAGGGGCGGCTGTGGATGCCGACTCACGAACGCCAGAACAAGAGGCCTATCTTCGCTCGGTATGCTTAATCACCCAGGCGATAGTTGGACCCGATCAGTGTAACGAGGATGAATCGGATTACGTTGCTATTGAAGAGGGGAATGTGGCCGCTTCAGAGAAGACGCTTGGCCCCACCTCAGAAGACTCGATGGATTCTACTTCGTCACTTCGGGGCACAGTCGTGCCGACAGTGTTAGCTACTGTGACAGCCACAGTTGACATATCCAAGTGAGGCGACGCCCGTAATCAAATCCTCTGTAGTTGAGGCAGAGGTTCTTCTACAGAGCCAGCACTGGCATCGAGGTAAGCAGTGTTGCCAAGCTAGCTGAAGGCGCGATTCCGCGAGTTTTTGACTTGTAGGATTCTGGGGGCTGCGCATGGAGAGTCTGTTACTTTGTTACAGCCATACCCATAGTTGCTGGGGTCGGCTTGTAGGTGCTATTCTGGTATGATCTTCCGTAACATTGTAAGGCAAATACACGTAGGTCAGCTGAGCAAACAACCGTATCAAGATCGCATTCATCAAGCGCAGCTTACATTGATCCGATCTTGTTCTACGTTTAGTATGGTGCGCACATCATGTTCGTTTTTCACGACTCGCAGTTTCGTGGTGTTGGGCAAAGGCAGCCACCGACATAGTCCCGCCCCAAAGGCTTTCTTGGTACAAGCCCAATGTGATTGTATTTGGTTCTTGCCAACAGCTAACAGTAGTACTGACTAAAAAAGAAAGAGCTTCCTTGTCCCTTGTCAAAGAACATCTAAATCACCCTGTCTTGGCAGACAATACAGAGCCAAAATACTGTGTCGGTCCACCAGTGCCAGGATACTTCTTGCCCATTACAGCCACTTGAATCCCCAGAGATGCACAAGAAAGGAGCCATCATTGCCGCCGGATACACAACTTCTTGATTGACTTTGTGCTGGTTATTTGTCAGTCCGGAGCAACGCAATCTTCACCTTGAAAGAGAAACCGAAAGTAGTTTTCGGAGTGCTTCCCTGTGCTTGTTACCTTTAGAAGCTAGCTAGTACAGTAGCTACCTTTTAAGCCAGACCTACCTCATGCCCGAGGAGCTGGAGAAGGGAGTGTTCCCAGAGGTCAAAGGAATCTGGCACAGTTGCATCTTCCCGGCGGGACCTGCACATACAAGGTGCCACGCACCCTGAGGGACCTACGCAATGATCCCGCAGTGCTGCAGAACATGGTCCAGAACAACACTCAATGGGATGATACCACTCCAGATCTGATTGATTGGACAGCCCATGGCAGGGCAGTCAACAGGCACGAGACCAGAAAAACAACACTGGTGAAGCTTTTGTTTGACATTCTTCCAGTGGGCAAAAGGGTCCACAAGTATGATGCCAAGTACGATCATCGGTGCCCACACTGTGGTGGCGACAATGAAACAGCAGCCCATCTCTACCTGTGCACTCATGAAGATCCAACACTGTGGAGGACAACCATGCAGCAGGCTGTCAGCAAACAACTGCGCAAATGTGATACTGATCCATCCCTGTTAGCCATTGCTTTGCAAGGGCTCGAGTGCTTCTTCGCAGGCAAGCATCTTTACCCATCTGAGTTCCCAGAAAGGTATGATCAACTGGTCATCGACCAGAACCACATTGGGTGGAACAACTTCCTCAAGGGCCGACTCTCCAAATTGTGGACCAAGCACCAGGGAGACTATCTCCATCATGTTCAAAAGCATACATCCAAGAAAAACGGTACCATATGGACTACCAACTTGGCTCATCTCTTACTCCAACAATGGTTTCTACTGTGGGATGACCGCAATGCAGCCAGGCATGGACGTGATAAACAGCAGCAGTGGATCAAGAAGCAGCAACAGCTTCAACGGGAAGTAGAGCTTCTGTATGAGCAGGCAGACCAGGTGCCACTGTCTCTTGTCAACTCCATTTTCAAAAGGCCACTAGA